CTTTCTTTGCAAGAGGCCGAAAGTGCATTTCTTTGTATCTACATCTTATCGGTTGGAACAAAAGGAAGATATTATCTACGGCATACCTCAGAAAAATCAAACAAGGAGGTGTTAGGCAATTTTCCAGGTACTGTGCTGGGTGCTGGGGATATAAAGATAAGTAAAATATAGCCACTGTTCTCAGCAAGCTTATAGATTTAGAAGGGAGGAGAGATAAGTACACAAAGAAATCACAGCACAGTGTGATAAATACAGTAATCCAAGTGTGCACCTGGTACCTGATAGCACAGGGGAGTGTAGCTTGTAGAGCTGAGATGAGGAAGAAAAACAGTTCACTTAAGAATCTGCAACTTCCTAAATTAGGACTTTTCCTTCTTCCCTTCTTGCAAGCCATCATCTTTCTTCTCTCGTATCTAGAAATGTTCAAATCACAGAAGCATAGAAAAGATAGTAACCAAAGAAGGAGAGACTGCGGGACAGTTTACTTTCACAGGGGAAACAAGCCTATCCTAAGCTTTTTCAGGCTCTAGATATGTGAATTAAAAAAAAAAAAAGTTTTTAAACTCCACAAAGACTGTGGAGTTCTTCCTTCTCTTAGGCCGTGTTCCTTACACATTATAACAATGCCATGCCTACATTAGTGTTCCTGTTTCATCAAGAGACATTAAATTAAGATCTGAGAGGAAGGCAGATTCCTAACTGGGCTCCTGTTCCTAATATAATTTAAAAACAGCTGCACCCTTGATCTCATATTGTTTAGGTCAGAAATGCTGCCTTTTGCTTGATTGTTTTTGTTTGTTCATGGATTAGTTCACAGATACAATGTTAAGAAATACATGACTGAAAAGATTCCGTGTAACACTGCATGGCTCATACCCATCTCGATGGCTCTTTTTTTATTGAAGTAAAGTTCACATGACATAAAAAATCATAATTTTAACCATTTTCAAAATGCACAATTCAGTGGCTTTTAGTACATTCACAGTGTTGTACAACCACCACCATTACCTAGCTCCAGAACATTTCCATAACCCAAAAAAGAAACTCCACAGCCATTAAGCAGTCATTCCCCATCCCTTCTCCCCTCAGCTCCTGCCAACCTCTGGTCTGCTTTGTCTCTATGGATTTGCCTGTTCTGGACATCTCAGATAAATGGAATCACGAAATACACGACTTTTTCTGTTTTGCTTCCTTCACTTTGCCTAATGTTTTCAAGGCTCATGTGTGGGTACTTCATTCCTCTCTGGATAAATAATCTATTGTGAGGATACACCACACTTTGTTTATCCATTCATCAGTTGACGGATATTTGGGTTTGGCTTTTTGGCTATTATGAATGATGTTGCTATGAGCATGTTTGTTCAAACACCTATTTTCAGTTTTGGTGGGGCAAATACCTAGGGGCAGCATGTTGCTTGGTCATATGGAATTCTGTTTAACTTTTTGAACAATCATTAAACATTCTAAAGCTGCTGCATCATTTTTATTCCCATCGGCAACATATAAGGGTTCCAATTTCTCCATATGCTGGCCAACATTTGTTTGTTTGTTTTTTAATTTTATGTATTTATTTGACAGAGAGAGACAGCAAGAGAGGGAACACAAGCAGGGGGAGTGGGAGAGGGAGAAGCAGGCTTCCCGCCGAGCAGGGAGCCCATGCGGGACTTGATCCCAGGACCCTGGAACCACGACCGGAGCCAAAGGCAGACGCTTAACGACTGAGCCACCCAGGCGCCCCCAACATTTGTTTTTTTCCTTTAAAAAATTATCATAGCCATTCTAGTGGGTGTAAGTGATATTTCCTGATCAATCTTTTTTAATTTTAATTTTAATTTTTATTTTTTTTAATTCATTTGAGACACAGAGATACAGAGAGAGAGAGAGCATGAGCAGGGGGAGAGGCAAAGGGAGAGGGAGAAGCGGGCCTCCCGCTGAGCCAGGAGCCCGATGTGGGGCTCAATCCCAGGACCCCGGGATCATGACCCGAGCCGAAGGCAGACGCCCAAACATCTGAGCCACCCAGGCACCCCTCAATCTTTTTTTAATGGATAAATAATCTATCATAGAAACCACTTCAGAAACAAGCAAGCAAACAAACAAACATGCTCATGACGGGTCTTAAGTTTTCTTCTTTTGTACATGAGGCTACCACTAAATGGAGAGGAGATTTCCTTAAGGTGAGCTGCAAAGTGAACATACAAGAGTCTGAATAATAGAGCTCTGCTTTACCGGCTCCCATCGCCCATTCCCCTTGAGCAACCATGATCAATGCCAAGGCATCTAAATGATGACTGTTGAAATGTCAGCCCCCTGAAGAATAGCCAGGTGTCTTCAGTCAGTGATTGGCAAAGAGGCATCTAAACCATTATGAGGCTTGGCTTGTAAAAAGCTCTTCTGGGGTGGGGGCGGGCGGGAGGCCATTTTTTTAAAAACTTGATGAACATTCTTCCCCCCCCATATATTCAGTATTTTTAAAAGAAAATAAAACACAACTAACCATCAATTCCACATCCCATTTTCATAAAAGGTAAAAAGTAATTTGTTTAGATAGAGTAATGGGTTAAACAGCTTGGGCCTTATGAAATTCCAAATTCCTTCCTAGCACATTTCTCATTAATAATCCAGTGCCCATTTCACACCTTCCTATGAGGGCTTGACATAATTTATCTTTGATTGGTATAATCAACACACTACAGAAGTTACTCTTTTCCTTTCAGGAGCATTTAATTTTTTTTTTCTAAAGATTTTATTTATTTATTTAAGAGAGAGTGAGATAGAGAGAGAGCATGAGAGGGGGGAGGGTCAGAGGGAGAAGCAGACTCCCTGCCGAGCAGGGAGCCCGATGCGGAACTCGATCCCGGACTCCAGGATCATGACCTGAGCTGAAGGCAGTCGCTTAACCAACTGAGCCACCCAGGCGCCCCAGGAGCGTTTAATTTTGAGAACTAAAACACATATAAGCAAAAGGCCCATATGAAACAGGGGGCAATAGGAGTTACACTTTTTTTTTTTTTTTTTTTTTTTCAGGTTCTGCATCCATTTTTGCATGCTGAATTGTCTGGTACAAATAGCTTCAGTGAGGAGTTTAGTTTCGGTTTCAGGTTGCCTCTTCAGGTACTGATGGGAGGGAAGGCTGAGACCTAGGGCACAGTGGGTGCTCCACTTAGTTGAGAGAAAGGAAGAACTAACAAGAAACTGAGACAAAGCTAAAGTTTGAAAGAGGCCCAGCACTAGGCTGCCTCAGGTCAGCCTTCCTGGCAACAGGCGCGTTTCAGAGAAAGACTTGACGGGGTTTTGAAAAGGGACAGGAGAGTTGGATGGAGTGATCCTTCCTTGGGCTGGAACCAGTGGACAGCCAAAAGGAGCCTAGGCTAGGGATGGTGGGAATTCCCAGAGGTGATTAAAAATCATAGTGATTGAACATTCATTCTTTTACACAAACCATTCAATTCCTAAATGAAGCAGGCGAGCTTTAGGCGTGCCTGCATCGATTTCTGTCGCTTAAAAGTTTAGGAACGTGAACTGGAACGGGGTCACACGTCCGAGGGCCTCAGAAAAGGCTGAAATCCTAGTAATTCACGGAAAGACCCGAAGGTCTTCCTGCTCGTTTGTGGAGTTGGTGGCGGGTCTGGTCACCAGCACAGCGGGCCCTGCGTGGGTTTAGAGGAGCGGGCATCCTTGCTCTCCCAGGCCTTTACACTCTCCTCCCCCGGGGCCCGCCAACTCTCCCGGGTACAAAGTACAGCAGGGACGCAGGCGGAGCCTTTCCAAGCGGCGCAGCCGTATCTTTCCCCAGTGAACACCTAGATGGGATTTCCAGTACCGCCACTGGCACGTTCGGGAGGGAGCCTCGGGCTCCTTCCGTGCTCCCAGCCGCGCGTCCTCCTTTCTGCGGTCTATATTCCTCTGGGGGACGGAGGCGGCTCTGGGCACTACAGGCTTTATTAAGAGATTCGCAACGGTTTACTCAGGCCCCTAAATCACTCCCGCCCGCGAAGAGCTGCCTGCGGTGTTGTAAGGCAGAATCTCCTAACGCACGGTTTTTGTCCTTCCTCCTCTTAACACGGCTCAGGGTCAGTTTCAGCGACTCTAAGAGTCTCTGCGTGGGCGCCTGTGCGGGGGTCCGGCCCAAAGAAAGGAGTTGGACTGCGCGAAGAACGTCACCGTGCCAGCAGACCGCACAGGCACTTTGCACGGGCCATCTACGCGTCGGTCTGGAGGTAGCGCGCCCTGGGTAAGCGGGACCGAGAGCTTCCGCGGCGGGTCTTGAGGGGCAGGGCTAGCGGGAGGTGAGGGTTTAGGGCCCCGAACGATGGGATGGGAGTGGAGTTGGGGTCTCTCAGGACGGGGCAGCAACTGGGGGAAACTGAGATGAACTCCAGACATCTGTGCCCGGGGTCTGCTTCACTGGATAGGAGCCGGGTGGGGTGGGACAGATTCTGCACCTTTGGTTCCCACCCACCCTCCAGGAAGGCGGACAAACTCCCCAGTTCTCCCTGAGGGATGGGTGAAGGGTACTTCAGGGGACCCCCCAGAAGCAGCCGCTGGAGTTGATCCGAGCCCAGGACTGGGAAAGAAAAAAATTGGGCGAGGGGTGGTAAGCCACCTATATCGCCTTCCTCCCTCCTTTTCTCCCCCACCCCTCCCTTTTCGTAGCTGCTGACGCGCTGGTGGTGTCTATTAATCATTCAGCAGCCCAGAGCCGCGCCACTTAATGGCTGTGCGGCGCGGGGCTTCAGCCTCCTGGCCTCCCCTCTGCACGCTCGCGTGTGCCCGGGCGCCCCGGAGCTGCAAGCGGCGGCGCGCAAGCCTCCGCTGGGCAATGCGCCCTGCCCGCGCCGGTCAGAGCCAAGCTCCGCGTAGCCGCTGCGTGCTACCCCAGGTGTCCGGCAGCAGTGAGCTGCGGGCGGGAGGGCGGGGTGGCGAGTGAGGGCGCGAGCGGCGGGGGCGCGAGGAGAGCGCCCCAGCCCCAGTAGCCCCATCGGCCCCCAGCAGCTGAAATGTTCCCCAATGGCACTGCCTCCTCTCCTTCCTCTCCCAGCCCCAGCCCGGGCAGCTGCGGCGAAGGCGGCGGCAGCAGGGGCCCTGGGGCCGGCGCTGCGGACGGCATGGAGGAGCCTGGGCGAAACGCGTCCCAGAACGGGACCTTGAGCGAGGGCCAGGGCAGCGCCATCCTCATCTCTTTCATCTACTCCGTGGTGTGCTTGGTGGGGCTGTGTGGTAACTCCATGGTCATCTACGTGATCCTGCGCTATGCCAAAATGAAGACGGCCACCAACATCTACATCCTGAACCTGGCCATCGCCGATGAGCTGCTCATGCTCAGTGTGCCATTCCTGGTCACCTCCACGTTGCTTCGCCACTGGCCCTTCGGCGCGCTGCTCTGCCGCCTCGTGCTCAGCGTGGACGCAGTCAACATGTTCACCAGCATCTACTGTCTGACTGTGCTTAGCGTGGACCGGTACGTGGCCGTGGTGCACCCCATCAAGGCAGCACGCTACCGCCGGCCCACTGTGGCCAAGGTGGTGAATCTGGGCGTGTGGGTGCTCTCGCTGCTTGTCATTCTGCCCATTGTGGTCTTCTCGCGCACAGCGGCCAACAGTGATGGCACGGTGGCCTGCAACATGCTCATGCCTGAACCCGCTCAGCGCTGGCTAGTGGGCTTCGTGTTGTACACATTTCTCATGGGCTTCCTGCTGCCCGTCGGGGCCATCTGCCTGTGCTACGTGCTCATCATCGCCAAAATGCGCATGGTGGCCCTCAAGGCCGGCTGGCAGCAGCGCAAGCGCTCGGAGCGCAAGATCACCCTGATGGTGATGATGGTGGTGATGGTGTTTGTCATCTGCTGGATGCCTTTCTATGTAGTGCAGCTGGTCAACGTGTTTGCGGAGCAGGACGACGCCACGGTGAGCCAACTGTCGGTCATCCTCGGCTACGCCAACAGCTGCGCCAATCCCATCCTCTATGGCTTCCTTTCGGACAACTTCAAGCGCTCTTTCCAGCGCATCCTGTGCCTCAGCTGGATGGACAACGCCGCCGAGGAGCCTGTCGACTACTACGCTACCGCCCTCAAGAGCCGCGCTTACAGCGTGGAGGACTTCCAGCCGGAGAACCTAGAGTCCGGAGGCGGTGTCTTCCGTAATGGCACCTGCACGTCTCGGATCACGACTCTCTGAGCCTTGGCCACGCAAGGGCCCTGCGCAAGGCAGGAGGAGGAAGATGAGGAGGAAGGGAGGCCGGGTGCGAGAGGTGAAAGTATCCCAGGCGTCTGGGTGCGGTGGGGCAAAGTGGGGCTAGGACACTGTGTGCGCGTGGGGGGGAAGTGACCCGGGAAAGTCGCGCGACAAAGGTGGAATTGGGCACTTGGCTTATAAATTGGGAAGGCTCGCGGGCCCCTTTCCCCTCTGTCTGCTACTTTCGCTCCCTCCTCCGCTGCGCTTGCAGTTCTGAGCCCCGCTATGCTCCCCACTCTGTAACTTCGATCTTTCCTTCTGCCCCGTCCTGCAGGTGCAGATCATGAACTCATAAACGTCGTCAACTCAGCCTGACCCTCAGCCCGGCCAGCGGTTATTTTTGTTTAAGCTGAGCCGCAGTTACCGCCACGGGTTTCCCACGGGGTGAGTCCCCAGCTCGCCCTCCGCCCCGCCCTGCCGCGCCCCTCCGCTCGCCAGATTTTGCCTGGTGCCCCTAGCGGAGTCTGGAGAATCACCTCTCTCCCTTTGCTCAGCTCTATTTGAAAGAAGTAGGACTCGGGAATGAACTAGGCGGTTGGTCTTCTCTCCTACTCTCGGGTGAAGTCGTGCCCTTCCCGGAACCCCATCACCACTCCCATTCCACCCAGGGCGGAGCCAGGTGCTTAGTAAAATCGGTCCCGCGCTCCGAACCCCAGGCATTCTGCAGTCCCCATCCAAACCCCCTTTGGAGCAAAAAAGGAACTGAACGAGCGACCCAGGAGTTTTTGGAAGATTCCGGGGTTTGGCGGAGAGGGGGTTGTAATAGAAACCACCCTCTTTCCCGGCTCAAACTAGCGCTTTTGATTTCAAAGACCAAGTGCTGGGCACTCCCGGGACAACAACGCTGGTCTGAGTTGGCCCGGCAGGGCAGGGCGCGCTTTCTCCGGGGCCGCCCGGGAGTCTGCAGCTACACTACGATTGCTCCCTCACCTAAGCCTCTGGCCGTGCAGATGCAGAGCAACCACAGACTCGGTTTCCTGCCCGGGTTTATCTCGAAGACCAGGCACCGGGCCAGGACCTCGGTGGCGCCTTGTGAGCCTTGGCCAATCGCGAGCGCGTTGCTGCCGCCCGCAGGCTAAAGAGTGAGGCCTGCCCGGCCCTTGAAGGTTGCTGCCTTTCAAGCGGTGCCTAATAAGTTATTTCTTGCTTAACATATTTATTTATTTATTTGTGATGTTTGAGAAGGTGTCTCTGCTTTGCTTTTCTTTACTTGCCTAGCCTAGGGCCTCTCCTTCAGGATACTGGGGGTGGGATTGGAGGTGGCAGTGGGGGGAAGTTTTCTCCCCAAGGACCTCTCAAAACCTCTCCTCTCTGTTGGGCCCTCTTTTCTTATTCTTCTATTTTTGCTTGTGTTCAGTAAAGTTTGGAGATTCTTTTATACTTTTTCTTATGTAGTCTCTTGTTTGTCTTAATAATAAATAAATAAATAAATAAATAAATAAATAAATAATAACATGGGTGAGCCACCTCCCTCCCGTGCAGAGTGGAATGTCCTGAACTCCTTTCAACATCACCCTATGTATGATTTTATTTATATTTTTTACATATTACGTCTATTGATCTTGCTCCATTGTCATGAGTCCATGAAACAATGTGAGGCTGGCAGGAGCTCTTTCAGATATGGGTGTTCAAGCAGCGCTCAGCTCACTCTGGAGCCGAGAAATCTGATGCACACAGATTTTAGTCAGTGCTGAGAATGTCCCTGTTTATGTCCCTGCGTCTTCTAGGTTCCAGCATAGACGATTCTAATAGACAATCTAGTTAACATTGTCACTTTTTTTGAACACATTGAAAGTAGAGTAATTTGTGTCTGTGTTTAATCTTAACAATTACATTGGAAGCCTGATCAGGGCAAGGACCAATAATTTTACTTCTTTGTATTTCCTGTATTGCTTAGTATGCTGGCATGTACATAGTAGGCACTAAATACATGTTTGTTGGTTGACTGTTTAAGTAAGCCAGGGTGTGCTACAACCACTGGGAGCTGCTAAGTCGGGGGCTCTTCGTTCTCTCATTGACATGACACACAATGGTTGAAATCATGGGAAAAGATGTTTTGTGTAATACTTGCTTCAAGAACATTGTGCTTTCCTGAAAGCAGTAACCAAGAGTTAAAATGTCTCTAACGTTTTGTTTAAACTAAGGAACAAATATATGCTTTTGGTTATACATCATAAAGTTGAGATCTGTCCCTTGATAATAATATATATTATTACTCCTTTGGAAAATAGATTTTTAATGGTTAAGAACAATGAAATTTACAAATCTTAAACATTATCCTCTTAAGAGGATACAAATCTAGTGTTCTTACCCTGTTACCATTGTAATATGAACGAAATAAACAAATGTATTATGTTGTTGAAAGTTGTCTGATTTTGCCAATCGAATTTCACTGTTTTAAGAAATTACTTAAAAACACATATGCGTGGGCTTGGTTGCTATGTGTTTCACTTAGATTTTAAGGAGAACAGTTCCATATTACCTTTGGAAATTTTACCAAGATTGGGGTTATACTTTGAATTGTTTTTTTTTTTTTCTTTTAAAGAAAATTCTGTTAGTTCAGAGAAAGAGGAAAAACAACTTTGAGTCAGTAGGACTAGGAAGCAGTGTAGCAGCCCATACTCTCTCTGGTTCACTGTTGTTACCAAACTAACTAGAGGGTCTCTCAGTCTCTCACAGATTAAATTACTGTCTGCCCCCTTTTAGACCTCAGACTTCACTGTGGGGACTAAGTAATTGCTGACTTACATCCCAGGGAGAGAAAACACAGGAGAGGGAGAGATGGAAAGATTGCCTAAAGGTGTTCCAGAGGAAATGGGTAAAAGAAATAGAAAAATCAGATTTCAGTGTAAGAGAAGAGAGTCATATTTTATGCTTTGTTCGGTGATGGCCATTTCCATCCCTAGAAGAATTTAAGAAGGTACTAGAGGAATTTTTTTTTAACAGATTTTATTTTTTAGAGCAGTTTTATTTTCACAGCAAATAAGTGGAAAGCAACATTTTCCAAGCAGGCAAGAGCAGTGATTCCAGAACCAGAGTGGTGGGCAGGGGGTCTCAAAAAATTTCAAATGCTCAGTAACTCTAGGCTTTATACTTCTATACATTATCTCAATATGACTAAGGATAGCTGGACTGTTGTCTTTTTAAATTATTTTGAAAAGCTATAGCAAGATGGTAAATTGAACTTGGAACATTATTCCAAGCCCCTTCCAGCTGGCTAGTGGGGAGAAAAAAATTAAATAAATATTCAAACATCTAATTAAGTTTATTTAAATAGCCATTTTAAGAAAAAAATTCCAAATTTCATTTGAATGAGTTTAGACAATCTCCCAGCTGGCCTCCTTGTCCTCTCTAGTTAGCCTTAAAATGGCTTTAGAGTGAAGATTGGAAAGAGGCTTTACGCATCCTAGTGGAGGAGATGGTGTGTGGGGGGGGGCGGTCCTCGGGAAAGGGGCCCTCTTTGCCCTTTGCTCTCTGGAAACGGGTGCTTTTTCCCCTCAAGATGATTCCTGTCTACAGTTTGTTGAAATCTGCAGCTTCTGGAGTCTATGATCCAACCTCTTAGCTTGGTGAGGGCCATACTCAGCTTCTGTGGGCCACGGCCCTCTCAGGGTCTTCCACAGTGCTCCTACAGCCCACTGGTCTGGGGGGGCTACCCCAGCCTCTGCAAAGGACTGGTCTCACCCTGCCATAGGCAGCCCCATGCTGAGCCTCTTGGCTCATGACTAGGGGGATCTAGGGTGGCACTGGACTGGTGACCCTCAGGATCTCCTCTGTCTGTATTTTCGTGTGGCTCTATCGCAGGGCTTTTCCATCTCTCCTTACCTTTGTCAGCTTCACTTCTTCAAACCATTCACCTCACCCCAAATCCCCTTTCCACTAGAGGAAAAAGATAGGAGAGGAGTCCTTTAGTCTTAGCCCTTGATGTGCTGAAGCAAAATAAAAGGATTTAGCAAATCTTTGTGCAATCCCCTGCCCCCATTGCCTCACCTGATTTTCAAGCCTTTTAGCATTGCCTAGAAGCTGAAGATAAGCCTTTTCCTGTCCTAAGGTGATGAGCCTCACCTTGGAATGAGGCACTGCAAAGAAACAAGATTTATGGAGGAAGTTAAAATGCATCATTTTAGTGTCTATGAACTATTACCTCTCTTACTAGGGATCTCTGTGTTCCCAGAGAATTCCTCAGGCCATCTTCTCACACGATATCCCCCACCCCCAAAAAAGGATTATGTTGAAAATCTTTAATGCCTCATCGAATTTAACCCTGACCATTATACAAAATGCTGTATGCATGATTTTGGCCTGAGAAGAAAAGCAAGGTGTTCTCCTGGAAAATATTATGGAAGATACATTTAAAAAAAAAACACACAACTGTGATATATTTCCAACTTATTTTAAACAAATGTTAGAGATATCATATTTATATCAACGTTCTAAAAAACACCTTGGTAGTGGGGTTGCTTCGTAAATCTTGCTCATCACCTTCTTTATTCCAATGTACCACAGCAGAGAGTTAGATACTCAACTGAAATGATAGATAGATGTTCACAAAATTATTACAGTGGTGTGTGCTTAAGAAAATAAAGTATTGAGGGCGCCTGGGTGGCTCAGTTGGTTAAGCGACTGCCTTCGGCTCAGGTCATGATCCCGGAGTCCCGGGATCGAGTCCGGCATCAGGCTCCCTGCTCAGCGGGGAGCCTGCTTCTCCCTTTGACCCTCTCCCCTCTCATGCTCTCTCTCTATCTCATTCTCTCTCTCAAATAAAAAAAAAGAAAAAATAGAAAAGAAAGTATTGCAAAGTCTATGCTGCTCTCTCCATTACACCATACATCTTTGGGGTAAGGAGAACCTCTTTCACATATTCAGATGGAAATCTTGCTTTCCATTCAACACATTTCAGTTTGCTGGCTTTAAAATAAGGCAGAGGGGTTCAACATTGTTACCTGGTTTCCCTGGAGGAAGGCAGGTACAGAGATAATGTTGTAAGTGATCATTTACTATTTTGTTAAAGGTCTAGAAACAGGGTATTATAGTGAGTGTATTCATGAAAGGATTTGTATTGGGGATGAACAGATATAGTCCAACTTCTGATTTCAACTCTAAAGGAAAGGAACGTGTTTCTACAATGATGACAAAGTTGAGGAGGCCTGTGAACAGAACTAACCAGTGCAAACTAAAATATCAAAATACCTGCTTGTCAAACTGTGAGATAGCGAGGAACATCATCTAAAAAGGAGCCATAATTTAAAATAGACATCCTGGGCACCTGGGTGGCTCAGCTGGTTAAGCGACTGCCTTTGGCTCAGGTCATGATCCTGGAGTCCCAGGATCGAACCCCATGTCCGGCTCCCTGCTCATGGGGGTGCCTGCTTCTCCCTCTGGCCCTCCCCCCTTCTCATGCTCTCTCTCTCTCTCTCCCTCAAATAAATAAATAAAATCTTTTTTAAAAAAATAAATAAATAAAATAGACGTCCTTTGGTAAAATGTCCACTTTGATAATGAACTTAATTATTTTCAAAATCTATGTTAAACTCAATCTTACTAGTCAATATTTGGAAATATTACACTCCTTCAAGACTAAGACTACAGGCATGGTCTCAAAATTTTTTGGAGTAATAGTGAGCTTAAGATCCTAACAACAACAAAAAAAGATCTCTTTAAGCCAGTATGATTCAAATCTTCAGTTTTGAGTGGACAAGTTTTAAAAAAATGAGGGGTGGAGAATGCTGTTAGCTAACATATTATCCCTGAGGTGGGGTTCAACTCTGCACCCCTCATTGCCCACATGCCCAGACCCGTTACAGGTGAAGTCCTCAAGAATACTCCCAGCTTTAAAAATGTAAGAAAGATTTACTATGTATCAGAGTCCACTTGGAGGAGGATAGGTTGTGGAGACACTAGAGTATCATGTAGAGTATCAAAAAACAGTAGTCCATTTACATTTAAAAAGGGAGAGAAAAAAAATCCAAGACATGCTAGGCAAGCAGGAAAATATTTTACAATGACATGTGTGGTTTACATGACTGTTCTGGGAAGGGCTGTCTAAATATTGATGAACAATAGCTCTCACCGTGTCTTTCTGTCTCTATAACCCTTGAACAATTCATTAATCTAGCTAATATTATTAGCAGTGGCAAAATGTCTAT